TTATTTTCAAAGCTATTTATCTTCCTGCAATTTAACTTCCAAAGATCTTTAGTCGAACGTGGAGTTCAGAGTAGAATCTTTTGCACATTTACTTTCAAAGCACTTTACTTTCTTGCACCTTTATCTTCAACGCCATTTACTTTATAAAGACATTATAATCGAACGCGAAGTTTGATTGTAATCTCTCGTCCATTACTTTACAACATTTACTTTTAAAAGCTTTTACATTATTGCACTTTTACATTCTTGCTTTTAATCTTCGACACATTACTTGCTTTCTTTTAATCTTCAAATCATCTTACTTTCCAAAAGGTTTCATAGTCGAACGTGGAGTTCAACTTAGGGCCTTTTTGCATACTTAGCACATGTTCTAGGATTTAGTATGGTCGATCCTGCAAGTTAGTCAATTTTACCCTAAATTGATAGCCCAGCGGTTATTTACCAAAATTCACAGTAAACAAGGTGCTTGGCGATCTTACTTATGATGCTGGATGTGAATGATATGTGGGGTCATAGGGGTAAAAATTAGGGTATTACACCTACATAAAAGCATATTGTATTTGAACGTTTATAAATAAGCAATTACATTAATGTTTAAATAAACTAATAAATTAAAATATCAATGAGACTAAATGCTTATTTACATTGACTTATTCAAGTTTACATATTAACATAAGTTTTGTAATATTATTTGTTTGAGAGAACTTATGAAAACAACTTATGATATTGTTCATAAGATTTTTTTTAAACTTATTTTAATACGTTCTTCAAGATAATTAAGCTTTAGTTTTTATTTTAATTCAAAATACAAATACAATATAATAATAATAATAATAAAGTTATTCCTATTTATTTAAACAGGTCGTCCTGATAGGCTTAAAAGACTTTTTTTTAGGGTCTCTGGCCTAGCCTTTTTAATTAATTAGCCTCATAAAAAAGTCTAGGCCTTTTCTATTTGATAAAAAAGCCTGGCCTGGTCTGAGCCTATGTAGGCTAGGCCATATGCCTCTATTAGTTGGTCTGGCTTATCACCCCTAGTCACAAATGATGTGTTCAAGAGATTGAAGATGAACATGAGCATGGAAGACTTGGAGCACTTGAATTAAGTTGTGTGTTGAAAGCATTTTGAGTCATTCAAGTGCTATAACCGATTAACACGGGGGTGTAACCGGTTATAGCAAAGGCAATTTCACTTATTGAGTCTCAGAAAAGGAAAATACTCGCAGTTGTAATCGATTAACCACATACTTAACCTGTTATCATTGAATGTGATTAAATTGTAATGTCAGTTGTAACCGATTAAAAAAATGGTGTAACCGGTTAGAGGCATGAGTTTTGCTAATTTTCTATTATGCAATTGTTTGTTATGGATCCCAATCAGTTTGTAACACTTGTATAAATATGTTGGATGCATTCTGATCCAAGGTTAATGCAATATTGATTCTCACCCTCAATTATCCTCTCTCTCTCTCTCTCTCTCTCTCTCATAATTTTCCTCTTTCACTCTTCACATTCCAATTCTCTCCATCATTGTTCACCAATCTTGTGATTCAAAGTTCCTACACGTTATTACATTATTCAAATTGAAAAATAAAAGTGAACAATTGTTGCACACGATTGTGAGACTAAAATAAAATTAACTACAAACTGAGTCAGATATAATACATTTTCATACGAGAGATACGAGTGACAAAGATGTTAGGGTTTTATTTTGAGAGAGACGAGTGAAAGAGGTATTAGGCTTTTATTTTGAGAGAGACGATTGTTATGTACTGAAGCAAGATATGATTTCGCTTATATATAAATAAGTAACACCTTTTACCAAGGTTGATAATATGAACCGTGATGAAATGGTTCCACCTTACACCATGGTTGATTATAAGAATCGTTGTGATATACAAGGTCAAGTCTATTATGTCACGATAAATAGAAAATTGTTGGTGCTAGGATTCTAACTCTTTCACTCCAAGTACATTTCACTATGGTTGTTAACTATGACCGTAGTGAAATGTCTTTTAGAAAATACCAAAAAAAGAGTTATTACCACGGTTAATAGGAAGACCGTTGTAAAATGAGTGTTACAAAATATCTATTTAATAGTAGTGCCATTTGGAGCCACTTCCAATTATTAAAATGATTTTCAGAATAAATGGTTTGGTTTATAAACCAAAACCATAAAATGGGGTTGGTTCACATGATTTGGTTAACCATGCACACCCTTAGTATATGGTATTTATTTTTAAAAATTTTTGAAACGTTGCAGACCAAGGTTTATACCCCATATTTAGGTTGGCTGAGGTCAAAGTTTTGTCATTAAATGTATTATTTATAGTAGTGATTCAAAGACTCGGATGGTGTCTCGATTCAATAAATTCCCTTGAGTGCACCTATGTGATAAGTAGTAATATCATCATGTTTCTTGTTTGTTTTCCTCTAAATTTCATGTGTGTTTTCGTCATCCTAGTTTCATTTTATGCGTTTTGTCTTGTTTTCATGATTTCACGTAATAATATGGCGTTGGATCGAATCAGAGCAAGAAAGACCAAAGTTTGAGCGAAATAAAGCTCTTCTCATACAAACTTTCCAAGACCAACGTGGCCTAGTCGTGTCCCGCGACACGGACCGTTTTGTCCCCTTTGAGCCACCTCCATGCAAGCAACCAGAGGCTAACATGGCCAGCCCGTGTCAGCCTTCAGGCAGTTTCAAACTTTTGATTTTTGGGCCATTTTTGTGACCTTTCATCATCCATAACCTCCATAGCATTGATAATTAAAGATTAGTGGTAGTTAAGCTTGAAATTAATACCAATAATGAGTCAATTATGTCTTGGATTAATATAAATAGAGAGGCATCAAGAGAAATCATCACTTCTACTACCATCTTATTTTGCAATTGTTATTTTTCTTCGTATTTTGCTTAAGTTCTAGCAACTTTTGTAATTTTGCTGCACTTTTGGTATTGAAATCTTACCTTCATTTTCATTTCAAGTTGTTATTATTTTTACTGCTTTAATTTGTTTATCTTCTTGCAATGTCTCTAAATTTCTTTATTTCTGTTGTTTACCTCACCATGTGTGAGTAGCCCCTTAAGGACAAGGGGTTGTGAGAGCTTATCTCATGACAACCCCATCGAATTTATCCATTAAAGTATTACGAGAAATATCTTGAGTGTATTTTTACTTTAGAGTCCTCGTTACAATTCAAACATCTAGCTCGGTTGCAAAAGCAAAGATAATATAAATGTTGATCATGTATAGAAAGATAATGATCTGACATTCGAAAGTGGTTTGCTAAACAATAGAGTTATGAGGTGCCCGTCGTGACAAGGCGACTCACTTTCGATTGAGAAAACTTTTACCCGTTCCGAGATCAATGTCTAGACTGTGCATGCCACGAAAGTGGGTGACACACACTTTCATATACTTATCTATGAAAACTCTCAAATGTATCTCGTAATCAAATTTGGATAAAACGTTGGGGGTGAGTATAGAGTTGCAATCATAAATCGTATGTCCTATTTTAATTATTTGTCAATTTCTATTTCAAACTGCATCAAACAAACTCTTTGCGATGGTTTTAACTAAACATAGTTAGAGTTAAATTCGTAATCATACACCTCTCTGTGGAATCGACCTTTTTACTGCTTGACACAACCGTGTACTTATGATTTCACATCATGCCTATGCATGTCATTTTCATCCTCTAAGTGTGTGGTGCACATGTCGCCATCATTGCAAAAAAAACATTTCACCAACCCAATATATATTTAATGCGCATGTTCCCCATGTAATTGCTCTCACAAAGCAAGAAAACTCATCTTCATTAATAAGGTTACCATGGTTCAAATTCCTGATATGCTATCACTCATTCCTACATCAATAATCTTCGCCTTGTGGTTGATTGCAAGGACTTAGAGAAAATTGTTCAGGGCTGAGAAACAGCCTATAAATGGTGCAATCTACATTGCCTAAATTCTTATAAAAAACCTTACGGCAGTGCCGCATAAATACACCTACATCACGTGGCGCCTCACAGAGACAGCTGAGAAACAGCCTATAAATGGTGCAATCTACATTGCCTAAATTCTTATAAAAAACCTTATGGCAGTGCCGCATAAATACACCTACATCACGTGGCGCCTCACAGAGACAGTTATAACAAACTCTTTATATAAGTGTGACTATGACTCACAATCAAGTACAATTTAACTCACACTTACAAAGTTCTACCTCAATCTCATATTGACTTGAGTATCGAAATACTAACTTTTTTTTTTTTTTACAGATACCCACTTTGATCACCAAAAAACCATTGCCACCACACTAAAATATTTTCGATCCGATTGGCATAAAAAAAACATATCAATCATTTTATATTTTAATATGAAATAGCGATAATGTGTTTTTAATGCGATTCTTACCATAATAATAATAATAATAATAATAATAATAATAATAATAATAATAATAATAATAATAATAATAATAATAATAATAATAATAATAATAATAATAAATAAAATTGATATTCATTCATAATATAAATATACTTTTATATTATTAGTTATCCATAACTTCTTCTTTTTTTAAGTATTTAAAATTTATTTGAATTAAATTTTATATATTACTTATTAATGATTGTGATAAGACGAAATTGTTTTTATATCAATCTTACTAATCATTCTTTAAAATAAATATTCTTTTCAATCCTATTTATAAAATTAAATTTGAATTTTTAATTTATTGAATAATTAATTTACTTGTCTATTAATAAACCATGTACATCGATTAATGTACTTGAATCTAAAAACCAAACTTTCTTTATAAAAAGAATCTAATTCACCATACAACATAAAAGATCTACAATTTAAAACCCTAATCTCAGTATTTAGCATAACTCATGTAGATATATGCTATGTGTGTTAGTGCACCTTAAACAAATCATATACTATTATTTGACTTCAAAATTCCAACAAATTAAACCAAAAAAAATGTCATTGCCATGAACCAAACCATGCATTCCGTTTCCGATACTGACCTAAACTCAAACTCAGCAACACCATCAGAACAACCCATTGATACAATAATGTCTGAAACACCACAACCCCAAAACGACGTCGTATCAATGTCCCCTCAAAACGACAACCCTCACAACTCCTCCGAAGACCAAAACCCCACTCTTTTATACCCAAACCCTACCCAACCTCGAAAACGACGTCGTCGTAAGAAATTCTTCACTGAACTAACCGCAACAACCTCATTAGCCAAAAACCGCAAAAACGGCGTCGCTAAAGACTGTGACGACGAAGCCCTAATTGCTATTTCCGTAGGGTTTCCTGTTGATTCCTTAACGGAGGAAGAAATTGAAGCGAATGTCGTTAAAACAATTGGTGGTTCTGAGCAATCGAATTACATTATTGTTCGGAATCACATTCTGGCTAGGTGGAGATCCGATGTTAATGTTTGGTTGACTTATGATCTTGCTGTAAAGTCAATTCGATCTGAACATAAGGGTTTGGTTGAAACGGCTTATAGGTTTTTGATTGAGCATGGGTATATTAATTTCGGACTTTCTCCGGAGATTAAAGCAGTGAAGGTTCGGTCTTTTGATGGAATTGAGAGGGGGAGTGTGATTATCATTGGTGCTGGGTTGGCGGGTTTGGTTGCGGCGAGACAGTTGGTGTTTTTAGGGTTTAAAGTTTGTATTTTGGAAGGTAGGACTCGACCGGGTGGGAGGGTGAAGACGAAGAAGGTGTTTGGTGGGGATGGTGTTGAAGCTGCAGCTGATTTGGGTGGAAGTGTTCTTACTGGTGTTAATGGGAACCCCCTTGGTGTTCTTGCTAGACAATTAGATTTGCCGCTTCATAAGGTTAGGGATGTTTGTCCTCTTTATATGCCTGATGGAAAATGTGTTGACTCTGAGGTGGATTCCAGGGTTGAGGTGTTGTTTAATAAACTGTTAGAGAGGGTTTGTAAGCTTAGGCAAGCTATGATTGAAGAGGTTAAGAGTGTTGATGTTCCTTTAGGGACTGCATTAGAGGCGTTTCGAAGGGTTTATAAGGTTTCTGAGGATAAGGAAGAGAGGATGTTGTTGAATTGGCATCTTGCTAATTTGGAGTATGCAAATGCCACTCTTATGTCTAATTTGTCTATGGCTTATTGGGATCAGGATGATCCTTATGAAATGGGTGGCGATCACTGCTTCATTCCTGGAGGGAACGAGACATTTGTTCGCGCGTTGGCTGAGGATCTTCCGATTTTCTATGGAAGGACTGTGGAGTGTATTAAGTATGGAAGTGATGGAGTATTGGTGTGTACTGATGAACAGCAGTTTCGTGGGGATATGGTGCTTTGTACTGTGCCTTTGGGTGTTCTTAAGAAGGGGTCGATTGCGTTTGTCCCTGATCTTCCTCAGAGGAAGAAAGATGCAATTCATAGGTTAGGGTTTGGTTTGCTTAATAAGGTTGTGATGCTGTTTCCGACTAATTTCTGGGGTGGGAACATTGATACATTTGGTCACTTGACAGAGGACTTGAGTATGAGGGGTGAATTTTTTCTGTTCTATAGCTACTCTTCAGTGTCCGGAGGCCCGCTTCTCGTGGCTCTTGTTGCCGGGGAAGCAGCTATTAGGTTTGAGATGATGTCGCCGTTGGAGTCTGTCAAAAGGGTGTTGGATGTTTTGAAAGATATTTTTCATCCAAAGGGGATTGTTGTTCCCGATCCCGTTCAGGCAGTCTGTACTCGGTGGGGACAAGATACCTTTGCGTACGGATCTTATTCCTATGTTGCTGTTGGATCTTCAGGCGATGATTATGATATACTTGCAGAGAGTGTTGGAAATGGGAGGGTGTTCTTTGCTGGAGAAGCAACTAGCAAACAGTACCCTGCAACAATGCATGGAGCATTTCTTAGTGGAATGAGAGAAGCTGCAAACATTTTGAGAGTGGCAAAGAGGAACAGTAATTCTTCAATGCCCTTTGACGCAGCTAAAAATATCGCCGCTGATGTGAATGACGATTTGAACAAACTATTTGTGAAACCTGACCTGAGTTTCGGGAGCTTCTCCGCGGTGTTTAATCCAAAACCAAATGATCTTGAAACTAGATCAATACTAAGGGTTAAAATTGGAGGAACTGTATTGGATTCTCCCAGTCTTTATCTTTATGCATTGCTTTCAGTGAAGCAGGTCATCGAGTTGAGTCAGGTCGAAGGAGATGAGAACAGGATGAGAATGTTAAATCGAGATTTAGGGGTCAGTTTAGTTGGGAAGAAAGGTTTAGGTAGCACTGCTGAGTCTCTTATTGTAGACATAAAGTTGTTTAGATCTCAGCTTTATGAAGCAGAAAATGGTCTTAGTAATAGTATCATGGAAGAATGAAATCTCCTGGTTGCAACTAGACGTAATTAAATTCTTTTTTTCTTTCTTTTCTTCTCACTCTTCGCAATTTTTCTTAATGATTTTCTATGCTGAACTTAGTGACTTCCCACCGCAGTATTACATTATTTTATGATTAATGTTTAAATGTGTAAATGTTTAGTGCTAACTTTGTTAATTACCATTGTATCAACAAAGCAAAGACAAAAAACTTTGTTAATTACTAATACTCCTCAAGATCAAGAATTTGTTGAAATCATCTACTTAATACAAGGCAGCAGAGGAGTATGTGGTGTTGAGGACATGCTTTGGGGCATTGAGCTGTTTTAGGTTTTGTTTTTTTCATCCCTTTATTAGTTTTCTGTAGACCTATCTCTGTTTTTTTTTAATGGCAAAATATAATATATAATGAGAAAAGTTAATCCAGATATAAAGGAGAATCACATACACGCCTAAGTTCGGCACAAAAAATGCATGATAAAGATCAAAACAAAAATACCAAGGTCAAAACAAAAACAAAATGCATGATAAAGATCAAAACAAAAACACCAAGGTCAAAACAAAAACACTAACAAAAAAACGAGCCTAGTAACAATAAGATCTGAGAAGAATTTTCCACAAGAAAAGATAAAAGAGACTCCGCCCCACTTTGCTCCAAGTAAATCGTTGATGTTTAGATGCTTAGAACCTTTATTGACTCATAACGAGGGTAGGATTCTAGGGATTCTCCAGATGTTTAGAACCTTTATTGACTCATAATGAGGGTAAGATTCTCCAACCACATAGAGAAAAGGTAGAAGTAGTTCGAACACCTATCCAAATACCATTTACATATCAAAGAAAAGCTCAAGACCTTCAAATCCTCTATATTCACAGCTAAACATGAAAAAAAATCAAATCAATATGAGACGTTTAGATAACCCAAACCACAACTTATCAGACAATTAAATGACCCCTTTAATTTTAATTGAAACTCCTAAGGAATTAAACAACTAAAAAATGATTGAGTATCCCGATTAATAACAAATGATCAATCCATCCACCTAAAGATCATATATTAGAAGAGAGTCAAAACAATATCACAAATCGCAAATAAATGAAAGGTTAATCCATCCACCTAAAGATCGTATACTAGAAAGTCAAAACAATATCACAAATGACAAATAAATGAAAAGTTGACTCAACAACACACCCACAGAGATTGCATGAGACCTTAGCCTCCCCTAGACTAATCTCACCCTCAACTAAATTAACTCTAAAAGTAAACTTGTCTAAAACAAGTTTTCAAAAGAAGATGACAATCTTGGACGGAGTGCAACTAAGTCAAATAGAAGATAAGACAAAATCCTTCCTAGTCAAGAGAATGGAAGAGTTGAGACTCTCATGAATTAGGAATCTTGGACGGAGTGCAACTAAGTCAAATAGAAGATAAGACAAAATCCTTCCTAGTCAAGAGAATGGAAGAGTTGCAACTTGGTAGACCATATCCTTTCCCACCTTCCACCACCAACGGTTAGAACCAGACGAGAGAGAAACCTTTAACAAAAAAAGGAAAAAGTTTTCCATAAGCACATACTTCGAACAAAGAAAGGTCTCATCCAAAAGAAATTCCACCTCAATTGATCCCCACAAACATTGCCACTTCACACACTAATCTATATGAGTTATAGTCAATAAGATACAACTCATGAAATCATTCTTTTAGAGAGATCACTCCCACCGAATGATCATTCTAAAAAAAAAGGTGTTCAGACCATTCAATATTTTTTTACTCAAACCATCAATAAACCAGTGAGACATATCCCCTTTTTAGAGTATAAGTAAGAAATCATTTTCCACAAGGACGAGGCTAACTAGAGGTTGGAAGATCTACGACCTCTAAAGACATCCCCTTATTTTATCCATGTACTATCATCATTTTATAGTTTTAACATAACTCTTATAATTAGCTAAATTTATTATAAATTTATTAAAAATCTATTTACTTAATTTTTACAATTAAAGAAATTAATTTTGAATATATTATTATAAAATTTGTCTAACGAATTTTAAAAATTTTAAAATCGAATTTTTATGCTTAAAATCGGCTATCAAACAAAAAATTAGTTATAAAAATTTAAAATAAGTTACAAAATTGGTTATGGAGATAACCAATTTATAATTTTGTTTTAAAAAAATATGTTCAATTATGACCATTGATTCTAATATCCAGTTATAATAATTGATTTATATACGATTATGGATTAATTTAGGGATAAACAATTCATGAACAACTTTAATGGTTTCCAATATCCTTATTTTCTTCAAAAACGTCAAATCTTTTGAAAATATCAAAAAATGTAACATGTTATCTTTCTATACATTTCTTGGTTGGAATGGATAAGTGTGGTAATTCTTATATTAGTTCCAAAGCTTTTGTTTCCTCTATATCTTTTTTTGTTTAACATTTGTTATGAGCTATCCACAAGGTCCAAAGAGTGAGGCTCCAATAAATAAGTAATTGAGAATCCAACGCAGAACATGTAGTCACCTTTTCTTATTGAACATGCAATCCTTCTAGCAAAAACCTTGTCAACTATTTTGGTCAATCTGACGACTGACTACAATCCACACCTTGTCACACACATCCAAATGTTAAGCGTTTCTCCATTTTAAAAAAGGAAACACATTGCTTCTATACTATTCAAATTCTCTCTCATTTAAACACCAATTTTCACTCTCATACTAACTTGGGCATTGGAGTGCTAACCTTTTAGGCCAGACCCCTTCTCCATCACATCAGAAGGTCAAAACCACTGCAACAAGCTCTATGTCCTCACTTTGTGATCCATTTCAGTTCCTCTACAAAACATTGGTGCCTTCTGTGTGAACCGTCTTTTGATTTCTATGATTTCCCATTGTCAGACCTCTCATAATTCAATCAAATATCCTCCGTTAAAAATCTGGATATTTCCCACTCGAAGTGCAGATCTCTAAAGATATTTGTTTCTCCGTTCAAAAGCAAGTCAGTGATGTTGCTATCGCTGAGGTTTCCATAAATCTCCCACTTACTCATCAAGGAACAAACAATTAAGTGTTAGTGGCTTCTCCGTCTATTCCTTCACCACAAGATCATGTCCAACCTAGGTAAAATCAAAGAGCATTTTGACCTCTTCCATTCTTGGGATCTGCACCACGATTTCACCAGTGTGAGTCTTCTTTCAAACCTCCACCATCACCTATAATACTTGGACAAGAAATGTTTCCTAGTATTCAATTGTTGTAGGCTAACCTTTGCGTACAAAGAACTAATGACCCACCGAATAATGTTTACTACATGATGCATCAACAGAACACTCAGGCCTTAGCATAGAGATTATTTTGGATTGAAAAGAGCTTACACCATGTTATTCCGAGGAACAACATGATATAAGAGATAGCTTTGCAGAGCTGTGAGTTGCAAGATCTTTTCACTAACTAAGATTGGATCAACCATGGCCTAGTATACATAGGGGTGAGCTAGGGATGGGTCGGGAAGGGTTATGACTAACCTTAACCATGTCCTAAACTTTAGTCGGGCTATTTTAATGACCCTAACCCCTACCTAAACAAAAAAAACCGATAATATATAAGTTAGTTTAAATCGGGTTAATGTAAGACGATATCGGGTTGACCCGAAATATGTGAAAAAAAATGTAATGACTTAAAAAATTTATTATAGTATTTTTAAAAATTCATTTAAATAAGAAATATGAATAAAATCATTAGCATAAATGAAAAACAATAAAGTCATCTAAAGTCAATTTTTTAAAATAAAAAACATGATGTAATTCTATATATGTCATCACCCTTTTATTTTCACTAAAACATAGTAAGAAGATGTAAATTTAAAAACACGATGTAAGAGAACTAGAGAAGTGTGAAAGTTGAAAAGTGGGAAGATGTGTACTTAGTACTTACTAAGTGCATATATTAAATTATGAGGTTGAAAGTAGAAAAGTGTATTGGAAATTTGGAGTAATCTAAATATACTAAGAAATTAAATGAATAAATAGTACCACATGTGCATTCATAATATTATGACGGTTTGGATAACCCGAGGGTCAACCCGAACCCGTCCCAACCCGGTATCGGGTTCATTTTTGGACAGTCCTTTTTCTCTTCCATTTTTTGCATGAGACGGAAAAAAGACTAACTCGAAACTATTGGTTTGGGATGGGTCTTCGGGTTGGATTGGATTCTGCACACCCCTAAGTATACATCCCTTCTATATAGAGTGTGTATCTATGTGCTTATAAGTATGAAACAAAAGATTGTGATGCTGGCAACCTTTTTGATATTTTGATGACAACAATACTGATAAAGATAAATTCGATGGTGATATCTTTCTAACTCTCTGATGGTGATGATTAACTTGAAGATATCTCAAGCCTCATCAAGTTAAAGATTCAAGGTTCTAGTGAAGTACTCATATGATTGGTATATTTGGCAAAGGACCTTGAAAGTTTTAGAATTCTAAAAGAGATGAAGTGTGAAATCTCGTCTGGTCGTGTCTGTCTGAGTGATCAGAGTCTTGCGAAAGTATGAGGGTAACTCTTAAGATAAAAGGAAACTCACACACACACACTGTTAAAAATGCTTTAGCCTCTTTTTACTTAACAAAATCATCTAGAAGTATTTTCAAGGCCTAACTAATTGATTAGGGGACTGTCTGTTGATTAAGAGACTTTTTTATAACTGTCTAATCCATTAGAACCTTTGCATAATCTATTAGATGATGCCTACTCAAGTCTATAATCAATTATGAAAGTCTCTTAATGATTGGTAACGACTATATATATCTAAAAATTTCCTTTTTTGAACACAATAATTGATTGCTTGAAGCACCTAAACGATTAGTCTAATCGATTAAGTCATTAATTATCCCATGAATTCTTTCCATTTTAAGCCAAAAAAAATTGTATCTAAAGGAGGTTTCTCCTCGGTTCATTTCACACCAGAATTTTGAGTTTTCCTAATTCTTT